AAAGTGAGATACCCTTCTCTAAGAGACTTTTAATTCTTAGAAATATTTATATAAATATATTTTTTTCTCATCTATTTAAGACCAATATCGAATAATTAGCTCTCATGTAATGTAATACAAATTTGTAGATCTGCCTGTACTCCTTTAATAGGATATCTCTGATACGCCCACTTGTTAAATTCTCTCTGCAGTTGCAGTTAACGCAAAAACGCAATGAAGTGAATTTCAGCCAAGAATTTTGCATGTATTCGCATTGCAATGGCTGAAATTCCTGCTTGGTTTTTCTTTCCTTTTTGGTCAATGTTGACCAGTGCCAGGTTTGGTTGGCTATATAAAAAGTTCCCTCTTTCATTTATAGTTTCGATTTTAAGAGCACTCATTAAAAGCGGACTCGTAAAATTGCTGCAAAAACCGAGAGAGAAAAAAACGCGCTGTACAAATTTCCGAGCAGTTGGTCATTAAAGTGTGTGCTGTAGCCGCTCAACCGTTTTCATAAGGAAAACAAAAAACAACACGCACACACACACACCACTCAACTGAAAATTGTGGGGCTGGAGGAAATTGTGGTTCTTCATGCCGCGTATCTTCAGTGCCCATTAAAATGTTTTGCTTGCCTGCGGGAAGATCGTGCATGATAAAATAATATATTTATTATATTTATTTCACATTGATGTTTTTTTTTTATTATGTATATATATAGTCTCTCTCTCTCTCTTTCACTCACTGTAGCTACGTTTTAACAATAAGCTTTTTATTCTCTGTATTCTCTTTTGTTGTAAGAAATCAGTGACTGCTGCAATTCGAGGCAGCTGCATGAAAAGTGTTGCATACGCCGCAGGCGCACGTAGCGTTAACTGTCAACGCGTCACTCAGCGCGCTAATTAAGTGAAAAACTATGTTAAAAAGTGCAGCGGGTGGAGCGGCGGGTGGCACTGTGTCGCCGCATCTTTTTGACCCAAAAAACGTGCCAAGTTGTTGACAAACAACAAACAGTGTCGACCCCAACTCTGGCTCTGTTCTGTTCGGTTCGGCTCTGTTCTGCTGCTGCTGCTGCTGCTGGTTCTGGTAGTGATTCGGATTCAGTTTCAGATACTGATGCTGCCGCCTGACTATGCCAGCTTCCGTGTGCCCACATAATTCGCAACAGCAGCAGCAGGAGCAGCAGGAGCAGCAGCAGCCACAGTGGCAGATGCAAATGCGCGACTCCTGCCGGAGTCGTGCCCAAAGGCGCTTAACCCGCTTTCGTCGACGTTGTCGGGCGTGGATGGAAAATAAGCGATGCGCAGCTTAGGCAAAAGTTTGTTTGTTTCATGCCACGCAAAAGTTACATCAAAGCACATAAAAACTGAACAACAACAGCAACAACACAAACAAAAAGCTGAAAAAATAAAGGGCACAGAAAATAACAAGTAATAGGATGTCGCATACGAGAAAACACTTGGCGGCAATGTGACAGCCAGCTAGAAAGCGTATCAAATTAAAATTGTGAATAAACACAGACACACACACACCCACATAGACACGCTTACGAAACGGTATGGCACGTAGCAGCAGCAAGAGTCAATTAAAATTTCTATTTGATTTGGCAAATGTCAGTGGCAAGCGAGCACACGGCTACAGCTACGGCTATCCACACACACACACGCACAGAGCACACAGACAATTCAGCAGATCCCCAGTGGAGATGGCCAGACACCCGCATGGTCATCCACAGCGCTGCTGACCAAATGCCAACAGCAGACAGAGCTGAGTTGAAAATTGGCTACAGGTAGAAAGCAAACAATGCCAAGCCAAACGAACGCATTCCATAAAAGAATTTCGCAAGCAAATGGCAAAAAAGTAAAATAAAATAAATAATAAACAGAAAAGCACACAAATTATAATTGAAATAATTCAGTTATTTTTGGCTTTCAAATGGGCAAGAAATTTGTATATATAAATAAAAGAATTAAATATATGAGTTGTGTGTTCAAATACGGATTTTGGAGAATATTTGATAAATTTTTTATTTACCGTTTGTATAAATAGAATTGTTTATTTTGATTATTTCATGGCATATTTAATAATTCAAAAAAATTCGTCAAAACGGACACTTAAAATAAAATGAAATGCTGAAATGTATTTATGAATTATTAATTAATTTATTTATTTTTTATGCTTATCAAATTTGGCCTAATGAAAATAGAAAAAAATTAATATGAAATTTAAAAATGCCATTGCAATGAATAATTGAGCTACTGACATTTAAAATAAAATGAAATTCTGAAATGTATTTATGAATTATTAATTTATTTATTTATTTTGTATTCTTATCAAATTTTGTCTAACAAAAATAGAAAAAATTAATATGAAATCAAAAATGCCATTGCAATGAATAATTGAGCTATTGAATATATAATAATAACTAAACTTAAAAAAAAAAATAACAAAAACAAATGTATAAACTAAATATGTCTGTTTATTTTTTTAAATTATTTATTTTGATTTTGTAATTCATAATATATGAATATTCAACAACTGCATTAGGCACTGCTGTATGTTGCTTACATACTTATATGTAACAATAGTTAAATACCTTGTGCATACATTTTCCTCAAGAAATACCGTCTGGATAAATATTTGTTGAAATTATGGAGAAATTGTTTTCAGAACCAGCCCAATGGGAGCAACGAGACTTTCTAGGTAGTTTGGGCTTGGGTCGGTAGGTAAACGAACTGAGCTGCTAGACATTACAAAAGATGAGCTGAAAGTAAAATAAACTGAAATTGAGTGCATATCGAGAGAGCGGAAGGTAGCTTAAGTATGCGCAGCACAAAGGCTCTGACTGTAAGTAGAGTCAAGTGCGGGTCTTAGTTATTCCATAATGCTTAATGTTGCCAAATGATGCCAAATATTGTTTGCTAATATGCCGGCTCGGCGGGCTTCTTGAATGATCTGGGGCAATAAAACGCACTTAAGCCACGTGAACTAAATCAAAATGGCATAAAACTAATTCCGAATGGCGCCGAGTGGCTAAATGTGATTGCGAGGCTCATAAATTATGGATAGCGCAAATATGATATATATATGACTAAAGGAAAAACAAAGGAAAAACGAGAAAAACAACAACAAATGTGGCACGCATTGCAGACAAAAGCGCAGAATTTATGATGCTGTATATACATATGTATGTATATATTTATGCACATATACATTCTCATATTTTGTGGCTACCTGCAGCAGCACATGCTGCACGCACACAACCGAAAGCAAAATAACAACAAGAAGAGCCATTAAACTTAACGGGTGCGTTAATAACAATGAAAATAAAAGCGCCACCTATGCGGCCAACGTGGGCAACTGTCGCGCATCGTTTCGTCGCATCGCCCCAAACAGTGCGCTACAAAAACGTGAATTCCCCCAACGTGCACTATTTGTATGCACTCGGATATATACTTATTGCATTAGCCGCTCACACAATGGGGAAGCTGCAAGAATTATTTGCATGCACACAATAAATTGGCCCCGATGCACATTAACTTTACAGCTGCAGCGTGCCCAAATAGACAATTCCATGAGCTGAATACATTGAGCAGGCTTTGAATAAAAGTTACTTTTACTAAAAAAAAAAAAAACATTGCTGAATTGTAAAGCTTTTTTTTTCCAATAATGGAAAAGTCATGTGATATGTATAATCATATATTAAATATAAATAAATGAATAAAAAATAGAATACATTTCATTTTTTTATACTTGTTGACTGCAAACAATTTTTTGAGTTCAGTTAAATTGGCAAAATAATGTAAATTGCATTGCTTTCAATACAGATAATTTATATATAAATAATTTAAAATATATTCAATACTATAAATGTACAAATAATATATATTAAATAAATTTATAAATAATATTTAATAAATATATAAATTATATTTGATAAAGAAAACTGATATAATTGTCTACTAAAAAAATATATTAAATATATTTTAATAATTAAGATGAAATAAATAATATTTTAGAAATATTTAAATAATATTTAATAAACAAAGATGAGATCATTGTCTACAACAAAAATATATTCAATATATATAGAGTATATTATAATAATCAAAAATATATAAAACATATTTAACAAATTTAATTTTATGAAAAAAGCTGAAATACTTGTCTACAACAAAAATATATAAAATATATATTTAGTATACAATTTATATTTATATTATAAAAATAAATAAATCTTTTCTTTAATAAACATATAAATAATATTTAATAAATAAAGCTGAAGTAATTTTCTACAACAAAACTATATTAAATATATATTTAGTATATTTTAATAATTAAAAATAAATAAATTATATTTGATAAACAAAGCTGAGATAATTGTCCACTACAAATAATATAATATATATACATTTGATATGTCATAATAATAAAAAAAAAATATTATATTATAAATATATAAACAATATTTAAAAATAATTGTCTACTACAATTATGTATTAAATATATATATTTTAATAACAAAAATATATGAAATCAATATAATTGAAGCACATAAAATTACAATTTACGTATTTAAATTTGCAAGCTTGCTGTTGCTTGTAGAGTTTTCTTTCGAGTTTATATAGGCAATTGTGCGAGAGTATTTCAAGAGTGAGATGAAAGTTAAATTCAATTAAGCAAAAAACCCATGGGAACTACCTGACGAGTCTCTAGCATCATCTAAACATATTGGGTTAGGGTAAAGCTTCTTGAAAATTATTTGCTATTAATTTTCGCTTATTGTTGGTTATACTGCAAAGATGAAAAACTCTACAATAAGCATTTCCCTAAAAGCTAAAAATAACCTTTTGTCTTAAATAAGAAATAAGAAGAATTTCAAACACGGGTAAAGAAGTGTTTAGCATTCACGAGCTGTGAATTTAACTCGCTAACTTTATTAAAAAAATGTTGTGGTGCACATTAATTGACGTTGTTGTTGTATGAGCTAAATGCTTTTCAGCGTAATAACTGGAGATGGCTTAGTTGCGTGGGCGCTGCACACGCTGGGCACCGGCTCTCCGCCTCCTGCCGTTGCGTATACGCTGGTTGCCTCTTCGCTTGTTGCCACCGCGCTTGTTGCCACCGCGCTTGTTGCCACCGCGCTTGTTGCCACCGCGCTTGCTGCCATCGCGCTTGCCGCCACGCTTGATGGTGCGTCTGGCGGTCTTGCGCCAGTTGCCATTGCGCTTGTTGGCACCAACGCGTTGCTTGTCTTGACGTTTGCCGCCGCTAGGTGCGGCACGCGACTCTTTTTCCCAGCCCTCCAGATCATCGATGAGCTTGTTCAGCTCACCAATGTTCTTCTCATCAAATTCATCCAGTTCAGCGTTGTATTTCTCATCATCATCGACACCATCAATGGCTAGATCACCGTTTCCGATGCGCATATCCTTGCTCTGTCGCACCTGCTGCTCTGGCCGGGGCTGCAGGGTCCTCGCGCTGGAAGCGCCAATGCTGAGCAGCACGACGAACGTGCAGAGTGCGAGACACTTGAGTGACATGTTGAAATCTATATGTGGCTCTTGTTGCCGGCTCATCGCGCTTTTATGGGAGCTCTGCAGCTAGTCCGCCGGGCGGCTGTGTCAACAGCGGCTACTGTGTTGTGTTTGGGTGTTTGGGTAAAACAAGTTTGTTTGCCCTCCCGCAACGCAAGTAGAAACAGTTGCAGCAGCGACAGCAGCTTATCAGCATTGGTGAGCTGTAGGCAAAGTTATCAGGAAGCCGCCGCTCCCCCCAACATTTTGACACCTTTTATTTATGCGTTAAGCAAATTTAAATTAGTTTTTTATTGTTTACCAGGCGGAGGCAAAGGCCACGCCAGGCCGGACCAGCTAGGCTTGTCTGTGCTAGGGCTGAGTGGAGTGGAGCAGAGCCAAGCCAAGCTAAACTAATGATGCAATGTTCCAAAGTCACGTACATGAACGTTGGCAGCATCGTCGCCAGTTGCTGCCACAATCAAACAACAATAATAATAACAGCAACAACAGCAACAACAACAATTGGAAAACGTTTGTTGCTGCTGCTCTTTATGTTAATTTTAATTGTGGGCACGTACAAAAGGCGACAGCTACTGGGCACAACTGCTGTCTACAAACTGCATAAACATGAATTCTGTTTGTGAGTGTACAACACTGGCTGGAGAGTTACATTTGTATCAAACGCTCGTTCCGTTCATACATATATTAAGCAGCAAGTCTTGATAGCAAGCACGAAATGCGTATGCTAATAAATATTTGTCTAATCAAGCATAAATATTAAATTGTTACTCCAGACACCATGCCTAATGGGTTAAAGTTGCAAATTTATGGGCAGAGAGCTCAGCTCTATACAATTTATGCACTAAAAACATTTAGCCAAAGTAATTTGTCGTTGCCAGATGTACATACTATATGTACTAATAAAGTCAAATGTCAAAGTAAATGTTAATAAATTCATGTCGAAAATTAATAATTGATAGTTGTTTAACTATAGAAACGGATAAGCACTAATGGCATAATATATTAGCTTTTTCTTATTAAATGTAAAATTTATAAAAAATAGCATTTCCCTGGTTCGAGTACTTTTAACATGAATTTATGATATTCTATAAATATTGTTATATTATTTTATGATAATAATATTTTATTATCGTTTATTAATAAGATTTTTGCAGAGTTTTCCCTATATAAAATATATAGAGCTATAAGAAAAGAGATAAATAAATAATAGAAAATATAGAAAGACTCATAGTGAGATCCAAATAGAAAATGGTGAGAAAAAGTTAAAATAATAAGAGAAAAAAATCATATAATGTTAAGAGCAAAAAGAAGAAAACTGAGTAAATCAGAAATGAGAGAATCACTAATGAGAGAATGGGCATTGAAATAAAAGAATCTGAGGGGCAAAGAGTAAATCGCAGAGGAATTGAGCGTAACAATATGGGGAAGATATCAAAAAAGAAGAGAAAAATCAATGAATTAAGATATGGAAAATAAATGTATTTACATGATAGCATTCGTAGTTTAATCAAATTTTTAGTTATGAAAATTACTGAGAAAACTTAAATGGTAAGCGAAAACTGGCACACACATACATACATGCATTATCAGTGAATGATTCCATATAAATATTAAAATAGTTTTCAGCTGCAAACAAGTTCCTGCAGTTGCCATCAAATGAATTTCTGATTTAAAATGAAATTCTTGAGTTAGATCCAATTGGTTATTTGCATTTTGATGCGTTGCTGCAACTCTCTCTCTCTCTCTCTCTCCCTCTCTCTCTCATATATGTAACTCTATTTAATGTTCATACATGTTGATGCGATAGTTTTAACGTTCTCATTTTGTGTTCAGGTCCCTGTTTGCCATCGTATTTCACATGCAACGATGGCTCCTGCATACCAATGCGCTGGAAATGCGATTCCGAACCGGACTGCAAGGATGGCTCTGATGAGACCAGCGATTGTGGTGAGTATAGTCCTGCCTGACTGAGTCCTTGTCCCTAGTTGCTGCTGTGGCTGTGGCTGTTGCCCATTTGCTGTTGATTGCTATATTATTGGTTTGACTGTTTGGCTGTAAACGTTTCGGGCATGAGTGCGCCTAATGACAGGTGCTCCTGGTCAGCGCGCCACAAAATGCGTAAAAGCCTCTACCAAAAACACCAAATGCAATTAGTGGCTCGTGTTGCCCAGCCCCAATCGCAATTCCCCATTGTGGGTGAACAGCACAAATTTCCGTTTTCAAATGTTACTTTAACTCTAAACTCTGTCAAATGAATTTCCATTTTCATTTCCATTCCCATTTGCCTTTTCCATTTGCCTTTTCCGCTGTTTGTGCTTTAAGTTCTCAGATAGCTCCCGGTCGGTCGGTCGGTCACTAAATTAATGTGTAGACATTTTGCGCTGTATGCCAATAAAAACACAACAACAAACTTCAAGCTGACTGCTGAGAAATGGCAACGTTGACAACTGCAACAACAACAACAACCACGAGTAGATGAAGCAGCCAGAGCTCTCAGTTGCATTGCTGCTTCGACTGCCCTCTCTTTCTCTGTCTCTCTCTCTCCCTCTCTCTTGGCATTTTTAATTTCATTTTATATTATAGTATTTTTATGGCGACAACCGCAAGAATCGAGCACAGCGCACAGACAGCAGACAACAACAAGCAACAACCGACGTCTCTGACGACAAATTGTCGGCAAATATTAATGCAACAGATTATAATAAATGTGGCAGCCACAGCGTCTCTTCATCTACGTACCATGTGCCAAACTCCTCATGCATTTCACACTATGCGCTGTTTGCTTTCTCTTTCATTTAGCATCCTCCTCCTCCTTCAATTAAAGCTCGCTGACTGCACACAGACACACTTAAATACCCGCATACACATACATATGCAGAGTTTTTTTTATATAGAGTAATTCTCTTGATATATCGCATTTAAACTGCCTGCCCTGGCTGAAAAAGTTTCTCAGGGGATTTTCGCTGAATATAAACTTTATTAAATTTATGTGCAGCGATTCATTTGCTTAACTTTTGACTGTTCTCTAACTAAAGTGCAAGCCTCAATGCTAAAAGCCATAACTCAACTCAATTATGCCGAACGACAAGAGTGTGAGCTAAGGCGAAGAGAAATATTCAGCATCAAGTTAAGCTGAACTAGAATGTATAAATGGTTATATTCGACAATATGAAAATCAAAACTAGAGCAATTACCTTTTAATTTAAATTTGAACAGAGCCAGAATTGGAACATGACATTACTTGGTAATTTATTATAGAAAATCTCTTAAGTGAGATGTGCAACCAGATAAAATGCAGCAATTTGAAAATTTATATTTTCGTAAAAACAAAAATTATTATCAGAAATGTTTTAGTCGTATTAAAAATTAATTTTCTACAATGAAAAATTAATTTTCTACGTCATGATGCGAAAATTTGTTTTAATTTATTTCAAATTAAATATTATTAAATTAAATATAAAATTAAATATATATTAAATATTTCCAATTAAATAAATTAATTATAAATTTAAAAAAAAAATTAAAAAAAAAATTTTTAAATAAATTAATTTAAATAAAAAATAAATAAAATTAAATTAAATTAAATAAAAATTCAGCTGAATTTTTAGCAAAAGAAATTACTTGCACGCATGCACAATGGCAATCAAATCTAAATCTCTTTAATTATAATGTTTGCTTATTTTATTAAATTATTTTTAAAGTCGTTGTGTCGAGTGTAAATAATTGCTTGGCTCATTCGAATATTTTATCCTGCAGCTCAATTCCTTCAATATAAATTCCAGCCTCTTGCCGCTCTCCAAGGTATTTTATTTATGTTCTAATTCGCATTGTTAGCCTGCAGATAATTTGAGCTGAGTTTTTACAACTCCCCAGATATGATAATAATACTTAACAATTGCTTTATGATATAGGTATATATATATTTTTTGTTCTGAATCAGTCTCCTGTGCCAAGTTGATTAACTAAGTGCCAAAAATCCAGTTTATGTGCCAGTTGGTTCAATGTACTCGACTCGGCCAAGAGAATTGTTGTAAGCGCGTTTCGCTTCTGTTCCTTTGACATTTTCGGCTGTTATTTGTTGTTTTTGGTTTGCCACCCCATCGAATGGAATAAAATAAAGAATTTAAATGTATACAAAGCATCTGCATGCCCTTGGGCTTATTAAATATTATACGGCCAGCATCAGTTGGGCGAGAAACAATAGCCGCCCACTGGCCCATCCTTCGGCCATGTAAATTGGCACGCGGTTGTGGCTGCTGTCGCTGCTGCTGCTGCTGCTTTTGTTACAGCTGTGAGCGGTCGTTGTGTCTCTGGAGTTTAACCTCTTGGCAGTCCAAACAATTTTTTTTTTTTTTTTGTTTTTTTTTCGGCTGTCCCATGTGTCGCCAACGTGGCTTTTATGGTTATGGCCGCGCGTGGATGCCGTCCAGAGCGCGCTGTAGCTGTTGTAGCTGCCTTTGATTTTGACAACCAGCTCGGGCTCGAGCTGGAGGACGTTATTTGAATTCTTTTTATTTCTCACAAAGTATTTTCGCGTGACAATTTGCATTTTTTTAATATTGTCGGTAAAATGAAACAAAATGTGTTAAAAATGTGCTGCGGAACTCGCAGTTAAAACTTAAACTCCCAACTGGAGAATGCCTCGAGAGCTGAGCGGCTCTGCTCCAGCTATGCTGCGTATTTCGAAGAGTGTGAGAATTGTCAAATTTATTTTAAATTATGCCACAGGAAAGTATGCAGCAATAAATTCCTCAAAGAACTAATGAGAAATGCATATTTAAATGCAAATTAATTAAGAGAACTCGAAAAAGTGTTATATTGTTGAGCTAAAGTGGGTGGGATTTCACTCGGTTTGTGCCTGCAGGAGGCAAAAAGGATTAATAAATGTAGAGAAAGAGAAATGTATTAGTAGAGCTCAATATTAAATCTAGAGAGGTGAATACTTTGCCTTGGAAAGGTGTTTTTTTTTTTTTTTTTTTGTGCAGAGAGATTAAAAGGATTAAATAAGGATATTTCAAATATGTAAATTGCTTTTACGACTGATTGAGTAAGTTTTAAAATCAATTTAATCAATTTGACGAGGATTTATTATATTTCTTTTTATTAATATATTTTTTTATTTGGCTAAATATTTAATAGAATTTAATAGTCTATTTTATTATTTAAAAAAAAAAATATTTTAACATATTTAATTTTTTATTATTAAATCCTCACAACGACTGTTTTTCATTGTCTTTGATTTTTTGTTACTTATTAAATGCTTTTGTAAGCATTATTTTTTTATTCTTTTAATTATTATATATTTGTTTTATACATAAATTTTTTTTATAATTTATTTTTATTTTTTTAATAAACAATTGTATTCTATTGTCATCAAGTTTTATAAACAATGATTTGAATATTTGCAAATATTGTACGCATTGCTCATAATTTCTCACAACTTGTTGATTTACTGAAATATGAGAAAGTAATAAAATGATATCGGCTACATCTTTGGAGCTAGAGTCGCAAAATTTAAAATGTAGATTTATATGTATTTAATATGTAGAATTTAGGTTATTATTAAAATTCACTTCCACCCCAAAATACTAGACAATGTTATAATCACAGTCTGAAAGTTTAATAAATATACCATCCGTAGAGTGTCATATCATTGAGCTTCTGTCAGGTAGTAAGTATAATCGCATTTAGCTTCTGCCATAAATTCGCTAGAATAATAAGAAGCATTTATATTTCTGTAAATCATATAATTATGTTTTCTATATCGTGAGCAATGAGGATACATTTTTCCACAAGCTTCATATTATTCAAGTTTCAGGAATTGATGTACCTTGCATCGAGTCTTGTAGCATTCAGCTTTTGTCATGCATCTGCCCTAAGTTTCAAGTTTTTTTTTACATTCACTAGAGGAGTTGGCCCACAGTTTCAGAGGCATTCATGGGGCTGTACTTTTTTCCTAAAAGAGCAAATTATAATGAATATTTCCAC